GTGAGATGTGGCAGCGATTGTGTTGGGCTGAGATTCTCAAGAATAAATGTCAAGTGTTGCCTTAAAATATACCAATGTGAAAAGTAGTAAGAAAAGCAAAAACAACAACAGCAGCAAAATATAAAGTGTATATTTTCTGAGTGTTTCGCTAGGTTGTGTGCTGCCGAAAGGCCATGGAAAGTGCTGTGGCACGTTAAAACTCAACAACGTTGAAAGCAGGTACCACAAAAAAGAAAAAATTAAAAACAAAAATAAAATACATTCAACAAAACCAAGTCAAAAGCCTGAAATCTCAACGAAACTAAGGTGTAAGTCGTCTCTTTGACTTTGGTAAGTTGTTATTTGTGCGACCTCCTCCCCTCCCCCTCCCTCACAACACTCCAACAAAGAAATATGGCAACATAAATATTATTTTTAAATATTCATCTTCAGAGCAAACAAAAGATGTCACCACCAACGCCCGCCCCATCCCACAAATGTCAGGATGACGCCAACAAAATGTTAAAATGTGACTACACCAAATTCTATGCCTGTCCAAGCAACAAGTCTCCTGTCTTTTTAGACTTTTGGTCACGATTAAAAATTTAAAAGCTTTACTTATGAACCATAAATTATTTGTTTTGGAATATAAGAGGATTTTTAAGTTTTGCCTTGTTAAGGCGAAGATCATATGTTTTATGATTTAAGTGTTTGTTTTCTCTTCCGAGACGAGCTTAATGATCTGAAATTTGCAGTGAAAAGGAAAGCCAGATAGACACTATCACACACTCACCACTATGCGACGCGTTTCGCCGTTGGTTAAGCGGCTCATCAGGCATATTTGATGTGGATGATGGCTTACAAGGGCCGTTCTCTGGAAAGTAGTATATATTTCGAACTTATTGCAAATTAGCATATGCGAATTATACACTAGAAACTCTCCAGGTTCGACTCAAGTTCTATTGGCAGATCTTTCTCACAGCAACGTTTTTTTTTTTTTTTTTGTTTTTGTAGTGATGGATTTTTTGTCCACAACAACTACATTGCTTCCAATGCATACACTTGTTTTAGTGCTGCTTTAGGAAGACGGGTTAATGGCTCTGAACGTAGAGACGGCAACTTCTAGTTGGCTGCACACAGAGGTCCGCGGTTCAAATCCCACAGCCAGGCTCGGCTGAATTTTTGAGTTTTGCCTTGTTAAGGCGAAGATCATATGGTTTATGATTTAAGTGTTTGTTTTCTCTTTCGAGACGAGCTTAATGATCTGAAATTTGCAGTGAAAAGGAAAGCCAGATAGACACTATCACACACTCACCACTATGCGACGCGTTCCGCCGTTGGTTAAGCGGCTCATCAGGCATATTTGATGTGGATGATGGCTTACAAGGGCCGTTCTCTGGAAAGTAGTATATATTTCGAACTTATTGCAAATTAGCATATGCGAATTATACACTAGAAACTCTCCAGGTTCGACTCAAGTTCTATTGGCAGATCTTTCTCACAGCAACGCCGCTTAACCAACGGCGAAACGCGTCGCATAGTGGTGAGTGTGTGATAGTGTCTATCTGGCTTTCCTTTTCACTGCAAATTTCAGATCATTAAGCTCGTCTCGAAAGAGGATTTTTAGTTGGGCGTTGAGTGAAAAGAGTTTCTGTGAAATTGATTTACTTGCAATCGGTTGTGACATTTTATTAGATTGATAAGTTTTAGAAACAATTTAAACTTTCTCATTTTGAACAAAGTTAATATCTGAAAATTTTCTTAAGGCTCCAAAAATTTTGAAATATTGTTACATAGACCAATCACAAAATAAATTTCTTGGAGATAATAATGCTTTAGTTTAAGCTTCTTTGTGCAGAATTAGAAATGTCAGACAACTTTTGGGGAGATATTGAAGGAAGTTATATACTTGGGTCCCAGCCAACACTAGAAAATAGCTCCTGACTCCCAGGTTTTAAGGTAAATTAAAGACGTTGATGACTTGCCGATAGAAAATTAAAACTGCAAGCCACAGTGTGATGAATTACAACATTTAGTTACAAAGTCTTAAAATTTGTATGGAAAACATAAAGCTATGAAAAAACAAGTAAGCAAAGGCTATAGTCGTGCCGGGCCGACCTTGTGATTCCCTACAACACTACAATATGTTAGAAGTTATGTCCAAATCCATTTTGGAAGATTTCGCTTTTGAAATTATGTCACGGAGCACTGACCAGATATTACCCTTAGCATTTGGAACAGGGACATTTGTCCAATATTTACACACTCCGTCGTGCTGTTAGTTGTTGTGATCCATTTTATAGCTATATTTAATCCAGTGGTCATCCAAAATGCTAAGACTCTTCCTTGTCCATAACTCTCTTCTCAGGCGGGTCGATTGGCTTCAATTGTACGATCAGAAATTTTTTTTCTATTTTTGGTCCATTTTAGCCCCTAAACATATTGCGGACATCTTTGGAAATAATAGCATTAGCCCTTCTGAGCCTAACCCTACCCTTGTGAAAATATTCGTGAGGATCAGACGATAATTGCAGACTGTATATAATAACCAAAACCTGTGTTGTAAGGTGAAAAAATATTACAAAATATACACTTTAATATTATAAGTCAAAATGAAAAAATCGCATGCGATAAAATTTATGAAAAAATTAAAAATTGTCACAAAATACTACAAAATCTATAAAAACACCATTATTGGCACCTTTTTATGCTGTTTTTTCTAGATTTTATTCTCTTATGCCAATAGGGAATTCTGAATTGACAAAATTGGTAAAAATCGGTCCAGCCGTTCTTCATATATAAGCATTCCAGCTAACATCCCCTTCTTTTGTATATATGTATTTTATATACATCGCTATATATATCCGATATATTTACCATCGGCATCTACGTAACGGTCAGGATTGACCTGTTCGTCTATTTGTGATTTCTCCGGGATTAAAAATATTCGCGGTTTAATGGAAAATTTGAAATTTATTTAACAGAAATGTTATGGTCTATTTCACCCACTAAATATTACCCGATGACCATCAAAATTGGAAGGCTTCTGCCCAGCCTGAAGCTCTAGCCCCATGCTAACTTCCGCTTCGATTGGTCCAAAAGTGCGTCCTGTAGAGTAACTGCAAAATCAGGATTTTTTTCAGTTTTTGGTCCATTTCAACCCCTAAATATTATGCGATCATCTCCAAAAGAAATAGGGTTCTAATCTGGCTCTAGCCCGACCTCCATTCTAAATTTCGTGAAGATCGGGCTATAATTGCGACCTGTAGAGTGATTACAAATTAACATGGACAGACGGACGGACATACATAGCTAGATCGACTCAGCTCGGCGAGATAGGAAGATCCATATATAGGTTCCTATATGTGGGAAACCAATATTTCGAGGTGTTACATAATTTTTGGCCCAATCAAACTTATAATACCCCCAACACATAGTGTTGAGGGGTATAAAAACTGAAAAGGTTTTTGGTTATATCCATTGTACAATAAAAAGGTATGGTAGAGCTACCAGCTGATTACAATTTTTTTCTAAGTGTGCCCGACTTATGCCAATTTTGTGTATTTATTTATTGTTTTAAAAAAATAAAAACAAAATATTTTCAAAATCAATGAATGGAAGAAGCTTAAATTGCGGGGCGCTTACTAATGATATTAACCAGATATGCCACGGAATTGAAAGATTGAAATCTTAGGATCATAATTTTAAGAGATTATTCAGGCATTTCTTTCATCTTTCCACAGATTTTAAAAATAAAAATGAACAAAAAATATCAAATGAAAATGAAATGAAAACAACTTGTTGGATATAATTTTGAATTATTCTCACAGGAAGCGGGCATAGCCTCAGGGCTGTATTTATGCAATTTTACGAAGCTGTTCTACCTCCTTATTGTACCATGGTTATATCTATATATTTGACGTAAAAGTACCCCAAAAACTTTCCTTTTCGTTGAAAAAACAAAACAAGTTAAAAAGTATGAATCGGTTCCGCCCTCAGTCATTCATCGATTATTTAAATATATTTTGACTTCAGTTATGTATATACAAACTGTTGACCCTCTATCGAGAGGGTTCTGAGGGAATGGGCCAATATCGTCTATTTCGTATCGAACCTAAATAAATACGATATAAATATGGGGTAACTTGGTAACAGGTTGGTAACTCTCTTCACTTTAAATGACATATGTGATAATTTTTAGAAAATCTTAAAATTTTCTTCTGGTTTTTCGTTTGGCTCGAGGTCAGAATTTAAAAAACAGACGAATTTGTTTTTTTATATATTAATTTATTTGTCCGATATTTCGACTATCTTCGATAGTCATCATCAGGGATTTGACTTGAAAAAACAATTAACATTTAGTATAAATAAATAAAACAAAACACTATAACGATAATTACATTGGATTTTAACTCTTCTGTTTTTAAGTTCTCTGATGCAGCTTTTCCATCCTTTCCTTTTTACTCGAATTTTCCAACTAATTTTTCTTATGCTTTTCGATGACATTTCTATAAATTTGAGCACAATGTTCCGTGTCAGTTTTGTAGTTCATTCGTTTATTAGGAGGTACATTTATAATATGTAGCATTTCTAACATGTACCTACGTTTGTAGTTATTTTCTTGTGCCAAGATGTCGACATCTTTGAAATTGGGCGTATGTCCTTCTTGTTGGCAATGGGCAGCAAGGGCAGTTTTTTGCTCTATGGGTTTAGTTTTTGTCTTTTGGTCCGATTTATGAGAGCTAATACGAGTTTTTAATTTAGATTTTGTTGTCCCAACATATGCCTTCTGACATACGTTGGACCCGTCCCCATTACATTTAATCTTATAAACAGCAACTTTCCTCATTAAGTGCAGAGAAACAGGTATAATTCCAAATTTTATTTCTAACACCACAAAGAATGTTTTTGACTTATTTAAAACAAATAAACAAATACCAACAAATGTAAAAACATCGTTAGACACAATCACCTATAACTTCCACACATAAGTACTTAAACTATTAATACAGCAGAAACATAAGCAAGTCAACATTACAAGAAATACTCTTACAAACATTAAAGCTCAACTCAGGGACCAATTAGATGCAGACGACTTAATATTACTCACAGAAAGTGAGAATATCATTTCTCACTCTCAAAGCACAAAACAGAAATCTATACACACCAACAAACTAGACGCATTAAAACAACAACAACACTGTCAACTGAACATACAACACAACAAGGAATGGTTCGTAAATAAAACAGATACTGACATACCCAACAACGTTGAATGGTTGCTGTCTCTTGGGCCGAAGTTCTCTTTGCCAACAACAAAAACGACGTTCCCCTTGTTTGATATTATCGCTGAGGGAGAAGAGTGCATTCAAACGTTGGATAACAGAGAACAACAAGAGAATGCGAGAATAAATTTTATTACTCTGATAAATGACCACACGAGGAAAACGACATTAGGGAAAAGAGATCGGTTTGTTCTAAACACAGTGGACCAAACGGCGAAATTTTTGAAACAAAATAAAGAATTATTAATATTAAATGCAGACAAGGGTGGAAAAACTGTTGCCATGTCAAAAACAGAATATGATTCAAAAATGAACGCAATTTTAATGGACATGTGTACTTACAAACGTGTAAGAAAAGACCCAACAACAGGACTACAAGAGAAAAACAATAAATTAGTTACAAAATTATTTGAGTTAAAACTAATTGACGAGAAAGTGAAATATAACTTAATAAATAGAACGTCAATACCACCAAAGATATATGGATTGCCCAAAATCCATAAGGAGGGAACACCACTACGACCAATATGTTCATTTACAAATTCGCCGACTTATGAGTTATCCAGATATATATCAAAAATCCTAAAAGTATTGACAGTTGATTCAAAATACAACATTAAAGATGCAATAGACTTCAAATCCAGGATTAATAATCAACATATTGAAGATGACGAAATTTTAATTTCATTTGACGTGATTTCCTTGTTCCCAAGCATTCCAGTAAACTTGGCTATTAGTGCTATTAAAGATAGTTGGTCTATTATAAAGGAACATACACATATACCAATGGATCTTTTTATTGACATTTTGACAACATGTATTAAGGACGCTAGATATTTCGCATATAAGGATAAGATATATGAACAACAAAAAGGCATGCCGATGGGCTCACCTATTTCACCAATCATTGCTGATATAATAATGGAGAAACTTCTTGACGAAACTATGAACAAATTGACTATCAAACCCAGATTCTTGACAAAATATGTGGACGACATATTTTGCATCGTAAAAAAGGAGGAAGTGGAAAATACACTTAAGACGCTGAATATGTACAACAAACAACTACGGTTTACGATGGAGAGTGAATTGAATAATCAGTTACCATATCTAGATAGCTTAGTACAAAGAGAAGGAAAAAAGTTGTTATTAGATTGGTACCAAAAGCCAACAGCCTCGGGTAGATTAATTAATTACCATTCAAAGCATCCGCGACGTATAAAAATCAACACGGCCACAAACTTTATCCAAAGGGTCTTGAAAATAAGTGACAGAAAATTCCATGCAAAGAACAAAATCAAAATCATAAAGATTTTAAAAATGAATGACTTCCCTAGTAACATTGTTAATGAATTGATTAAACGCGCCGAGGGTAATAGAGCATACCAAAATACAAAATTAGTGGAAAAGACATATAAAAGATCTACATATATACCAGGGTTTTCGGAAAGATTTTCTTCATCAAACATGTACAACAGTGAGAAGTATCAATTGGCATTCAGAAGCAGTAACACCAACAATAATTTCTTTAGTAGAACTAAAACAAAAATTCCACACGAGGATAAATCTAACGTCGTTTATAAGATTAAATGTAATGGGGACGGGTCCAACGTATGTCAGAAGGCATATGTTGGGACAACAAAATCTAAATTAAAAACTCGTATTAGCTCTCATAAATCGGACCAAAAGACAATAACTAAACCCATAGAGCAAAAAACTGCCCTTGCTGCCCATTGCCAACAAGAAGGACATACGCCCAATTTCAAAGATGTCGACATCTTGGCACAAGAAAATAACTACAAACGTAGGTACATGTTAGAAATGCTACATATTATAAATGTACCTCCTAATAAACGAATGAACTACAAAACTGACACGGAACATTGTGCTCAAATTTATAGAAATGTCATCGAAAAGCATAAGAAAAATTAGTTGGAAAATTCGAGTAAAAAGGAAAGGATGGAAAAGCTGCATCAGAGAACTTAAAAACAGAAGAGTTAAAATCCAATGTAATTATCGTTATAGTGTTTTGTTTTATTTATTTATACTAAATGTTAATTGTTTTTTCAAGTCAAATCCCTGATGATGACTATCGAAGATAGTCGAAATATCGGACAAATAAATTAATATATAAAAAAACAAATTCGTCTGTTTTTTAAATTCTGACCTCGAGCCAAACGAAAAACCAGAAGAAAATACATTGATCAAAGGTCAACAATAACTATACAAATCTTAAAATGTGCGTGGGGTACCAGATATAGTCGACCGAAGTATTCCATTTTCATGCTTCATCTAATACATATAAAAATATTGCTATGGGCAAAATTACAAGAAAATCGAACATTTTTATCCTAATTTTGGCGGAAACATAACTTCCATATTCAGCTCAGGTCTCTGGTTGAAGATATAGCATTTGTGAATGAGTTACCAGAAGGGGTATATATCATCTTCACAAACATATGTTGTGTTAGCAAAAATGTTTGTATGTGTAAAGTTTTGGCGAGAGATGTATGCTTATTTCATTTACTGTGAGCGTTTCGTTTTTCAAAATCTTGAACGCTATATGGGGGTTGGCACCAAAAGAAATGGTCTACCATTTTTATAACATATCTTGTGTTGATGGAAATATTGATATGTACCAAGGAATCGGATATTAATTTCGAGTTTTATGAGCTTCACAGATATTCAAATTTTTTACCATTTCAGGGGGAGGTACCAGAAGGAGTGGACGTATACATTCCATCTTTACATCAGACCTCGTGTTAGTAAAAATAATGGCATTTGTGATATTTGAAGACAATTTATAATTATTTAAAATACTGAACCTTTGTACTTCATGGAGTGGACCGATGTTGTTCCTTTTTAGCACCTGACCTAGTGCTGATGAAAATATTATATATTATAATATTGCAAATTTAGAGCAAAACTGGATTATCCCTTCTCTTTCTGTGTATGAAGGGTTTTTTTTTTGAAAATTTCGACCTTTTGTGGGGGAGGTAGCAGAGGGAGTGGTCCGATATTGCCCATCTCCTAACTCGATCTAAGTTTGATAATAATATTACGATGTACCAAGTTTGGACCAAATCGGAAACTACCTTTTATAGTTATCGTGCGCACCAGGCATACATTGCAAGATTTGGTCCAAAGCGACTTAGGATCTAAAACCGTTATTTCAATGAGGCACATTTTGGCCGTATCAAATGTTATACAGCGTTAGAGGAAAAAACTACAGTCAATTTGAGACTCCTGTCATTTCTAAGTCACTCGTCCGACAGCTGTTAAAAATATTTCAGCGAAAGCTCATTATATTGTTTACAAGCGTACAAAAGCATTTCGGTGAGAATTTTCCAGAAGAAAAGTTGGCCGCAGACCTCGACCATTCCGACAGGAATTAGCACCCTCGCTCTTAGCACACACCAGCCAAGAATGGTTATAAAACAAAATGAGGTCCCTCGCTTCATTTCTAGCTCACAATGGCCACCAAAATCTCCGGATACCAATTCGTTGGAGTATTGTGTCTGGAGTATTTTGGAAAGCAAGGTTGGCACTAAAAAATACCAAAGTGTCGATCACCTCAAGCAAGCGATTCGCTGGGAATGGGCCAAAATACCGCAGACCAACATTCAAGCAGCGTGTGACGGTTTCATTGGCCGTTTAAAGGCCATAATTCGTGTCAAAGGTGACCAATTCGCACAAATCTAAACTTATTCTAAAATTTGATGCAATTTCCGACATTTTTTGTTTCCATTCAATAAAATTTAAAAAAAAAATGTAAAAATTATGGCGTTTGACTTTGTTGCAGTTTTTTTATCTCACCTTGTAGTGCACTCATATTTGTTGCAAATTAATTTGATTTGAGTTGATATCCCACCTTTTGCCTAAAGTCCTCCACAAGTTTTTCATGTGATTCATGTAATGATTAAATTCGCCTAATTTTAAATGGAATATCTATGCCAGGACTATTTTTAATCTTGGTAACAGTACTTTGACGTCATGGCAAAAAAACTAGCAGTTGTTTCATTATGTTTAATGCTGTATCTATGAATGTGTGTGTGCAGAAGCCATCTATTCTTATGTTGAAATTAACATACACTGACTCACACAAATGCAAATCATTGCATTTTAATCAGTGTTAGCTTTGCGCGCGTGTGTGTGTGTATGTGTAAATGTTGAATATATTTGCAAATGCATTCGGATGTATAATAGATGGGGTAAGTCTGTAACTTACGCTACGCTTTGGACGAAATCCGTTTCAGGAAATGGGATCACAATACTCTCATAAAATTATAATTCCCCATTGTTCTTCAACGTTCGAAATTGGCCATATTTGATGCAGATGGGATATGAAGGTCAATTTTTTATGATACGTCTCATAAAAAAGAGTATATTTGTTTATATGGGCTTTAGTAAGTCTGTAAATGGAAAAGAAACTGTAAGTTTCTATTTTGTTGTTCTTTTTTCAACATGAGGCGTTTCTATACCTCCCCACAGATAGGTCACCTCTTAGGGCTATGAATCTAATATCAACTTAATACTGATATGCAGTTTGGGTATATAGGAAACCGTCTATGGGTCTATTTATTTTTATACCCTCCACCATATTATGGAGGGTATATTAACTTTGTCATTCCGTTTGTAACTCCTCGAAATACTCATGTCAGATCCAACAAAGTATATATATTCTTGATCAGCGTAACATTTTAAAACGATTTAGCTCTGTTCGTCCGTCCGTCTGTCTGTTGTAATCACGCTATCTTTCGAATGAATTGAGATAGATGGCTAAAGTTTAGCACACAAGTTTTTTTTTTCGATGACTCTTTGGGCCCATTCCAATCGACAAGGCTTGTCCGCAGGCAACATTCTTTGCGTCAATTGAATTTTGTACGGGAACAAATGCAAATCAATGCGAATAATCCGTTGTAAAGTGGACCGAGCCATGCCCAACTGCTGAGAACGGCGTTTTTGGGATGTTCTTGGGGACCTCTCAACATTGGCTCGTACGGCAGCGATATTCTCGGCCGATCGTCTTGGTCGACTTTTATATGGCTTCCTCGGATTAGAAAGAGCCTTACCAGTTGAAATTGTTTCGTATAAACGCTTAATGGTGTTCTTAGAAGGCGCACTTCTCACATTTTTTAATGTTTTAAAAGCACGTTGAGTTTTCACAATTGACTTCTTCTGTTGAATGTAAATTTCAACTATTTCAGAGCGCTCGCGTGGCATGTATTGGTTCATGGTAAAAATCTGCTTGGACTGGCGCTTCAAACGCGGTATGTCATTAAGCGATGTGACATCTCTGTCAAAAATTATGGCGTTGCCAGATGGGTCCGTCGAATATGGGCAACCCTGTTTTAATCGGTATTTTGACGATTTTAGGTACAATACCCTTCGAAATTTGTTTGTGGTATTTGAAGTTCGCAATGGATGCTACAGCTTGTGACAGAAAATTTTATATGCAGGTGCTGGTCTTCGCACAGCTCCAATATAACGGTACCTCCCTATATACGATATTTTGATGATTTTAGCTACATTATTTACTATTTATTTAAAGTTTCGACTTTGAATATGGTAATGGCTTATGACAAACAATGCCTTTGTAGGTCCACGTCGTATAGACCCCAATATAACGGCTATATTTGGTATTTTTAAAATTTTAACAGAATTAAGAATTTAAGAATTTTATTTTTTGAAAATTTCCAAATTCGGTCCAAATGGTGGAGGGTATTCAAAGTTCGGCCCGGCCGAACTTACTGCTTTTTAACTTGTTTTTCAAAATAGAATACCCATGCAGTGATTTAATATAGATAGATAGATAGATAGATAGATAGATAGATAGATAGATAGAAAGATAGATAGATAGATAGATAGATAGATAGATAGATAGATAGATAGATAGATAGATAGATAGATAGATAGAAAGATAGAAAGATAGATAGATAGATAGATAGATAGATAGATAGATAGATAGATGGAGAACCTTGTAATTGTATTCCATGTACAGGGGCTTTTTTTTAAATATTTTTATGTATGATATTCTGTAGATAGTTACAAAGATCTATTTCTGGTTCTTATAATAAGACCTTCTTTAGTATTTCTGTATATTTTTATACCCTCCACCTTAGAAAGGAGGGTATATTAACTTTGTCATTCCGTTTGTAACATGTATAAATATTCGTCATAGACCCCATAATTTATATATATTCTTAATCAGCATAAAATTATAAGTCGATTTAACGATGTTCGTCTGTCCGTCTGTCTGTTGAAATCACAATACAGGCCACATTATTATTTGCAGGCCCATATAGCTGTACCTCCCGATATTCAGTATTTTGATGATTTTTGCCACATTTTTTATGGATTTATCTAAAAATTGGTTTTTGTTGATCATAATGCGTTCTAGTTCCGGTGGAGAAACATTGCATCTATAAGTCCACGTTTTGGTATAGCCCCCATATAACGGTACCTCCCGATATTCGGTATTTTGATGATTTTTCCCACATTTTTTTCATGGGTTTGTCTAAAAATTGGTATTTGATGGTCATATTGGGTCCTAACATTTCCATTACCCTAAGGTGGTGGGTATTAATTTTTTTTTACTTGCTTTATATAGTTACTTTTTGACACGTTTCATTTAGCACCCTTTTTATACCCATTTTGATGTCTATTCCAACACTCTACAACCGGTACTTATGTACATCCCATATTTTCAGCCTGACTGGGTTAAGTGTTAGTGATGCTAAGTATTTCTCATCTAGTCGTTTTTTTTTCCCGTGGTCTTGCTTCTACATGAATATTTTTAAGTACATGAATTTTGTACCAACCACGGTTCGTTCTGCAACCACAAACTGCCGCCTTTTTTATGGTGACATATAAATGTTAAGCTTTAGATGTATGTGAGTGCTGTGGATATGCCCTTGTCTAAAAATGTAAAATATTCTTTGTTTTAAGAGATGCCAACAGAAATAAAAATATGACTGAGGATGCAAAGTAACATTTAACCATTAAAAAAACGAGTTTAAGTTAAAATTAAACTCTCCTCTGCTAATTGAAATCTTATAACCCCAGAAAGTTGTACATTTTTCAATTAGACCATGTTTTTATACCCTACAACACTTTGTGTTGGGGGTATTATAAGTTTGATTGGGCCAAAAATTATGTAACGCCTCGAAATATTGGTTTCCCATATAGGAAATTATATATGGAT